TCTGTGAGCGTTCACCAACTACTGTGAGAATGGGGAAAACACGAATGTCCTTAATGTATTTTCTGTTCTGGTCAAATGTTCTTGAATTGCTTAGTTCATAAAGAACAAAGTGAAGTGGGAAAATACCACATTATGGCCACTAGATGGGGCTGAGGATCGTAGGAAACAAATACATGTTAGTAGCAAGATACAATGTAACAATTTAAGAGAATGAGGAGTGAAGTAGAATGTGTATGCAAGCACTGTTATCCCCGTAGTAGCAATGGTTACATTTATAAGCTCATTTGCTCCAGCAGTTTCTAGAATTATAACATTGAACACTGAGTTTGGCTACCCTTTTGGCTAGAAACCGTTAAAACTAAAGGGTTTACATACCACATCTGTGTAGCAACACACCACATTCTGCCTGGAGTTCACATTCCCTCCTGATTGAGGGGACTGGGAGCACACAAAAGGTGAGCAATGAAAATGAACAGGCTTGCATGTCAAGCACAGCCTTAACAATCCCGAAAACATTCCTGCTGCTACAATGCAAAAGTTTTACTGCCACTGTGTTGGATTTAAGTCTCCATACAATAAAAATTGCTCACATGTGGAGAATTCACAAATCAGGAATAAGCTAAAAGCAGAATGTGTAGTAGCAGTGTTCAGTGTTTTATCATAAACATAACTAAATATTTCTATTATTGCTGAATCACTTATCTACTAAAAACAAGTAAGCTTTTCATTTGGCATAATATACTGAGCAAGGTCATACCTATAATCTTTATCAGGAAGGTCACTGTTGATGAGAGCAGTTGTGACTCTCTGCAGCATTTCCAGTACTTCATCACACCCAGTTAAAATCTGGGTGGCCGAACTCAAAATGCTTGTCTGCAGTTCCTAGGACAAAAAAGAAAGACAAACTGGATTAGTTGATATATATCTGAAAATTATTTTTTGCTATACTACCCTCCAGAATATGAAAGTAACTGAAGATTCCTATAATGAGCAGCAATCTGCTGCTGTTGACTAAACCTGGCCTAGCAGTCCATTATATAATCTTTATTGCAGATAAATGTGTGAGTATGTTAACTGCGCTATGCTTTGGAATAGTGTCTGGGATAACCTAAAGTATGACAGGAAGGCATGTGTGAATGTCAAACTTTCTGGTCTGTTGGCTGCAAACAGGAATTCAATTTTGATTCTAACAAGATTTCCGCTGGTAACGATGGAATAAGAAAGAGAACGTAACCTGCTTGAGACTACTGAAACATAGCTACTCCAGAAAATATGACTACATGCAGAATGCACAAAGTGTAGAAGAGATGGAATCACTGGGAACTATTGTATGTGACTCTATAAAGTTGAATTGGGATGTTATTTACCGCTCCTCTTCTACAATGTGATCAGAATATGCAAGGGACTATTCAAGAGTAAAAACCTAGATAGTCTAATCTGTCACATTGAACCAAAATATTCAATGACAAGCTGCAGAGAGAGTAATAAACTTGTGTTGTATTTTGCTTGCTATTTTTATGAACACAGAAGAAAGCAAGCAGACTACCCAAGATAAAGCTACGCCTAAAATGTTGTTTCCCACATGTCTGCAGACGAGCCCTTCAAAACTGGAATAAAGCTGGCCATACACTATTCCACTGTTTGCATTCAGCATGCGGGCTAAACGGGTCATTTCCCTAGATAAAATAAATTGTACTTTTACTGCACTTAAAGTGACAATAAAGGCAAAAAAATTTTTGTTTCAACACAACGTTAATGAAAGCACTTACCTTAAGGCCTTGTTCACACCAAATGCAGACCAGATGCGGTCAGGTTTCTGCACACGCAGTGCAGTGGGTTGTGCCGCGTTTTAGATGCGTTTTGGGCCGGTTTTGGTAAAAAAAAAAAAAATCTTTTTTTTAAAGTTTAACATGGGCTTTCAGGCACTTGCATGCGTTTTTGATGCGTTCCAGACCAGATCCAGAGCAGGTAAAATAGGGCTTGCCGCATTTTTTTCATCCGGTCTGGATCTGGTCTGGATCCGCACGCTGCGATGTGAACTGGAGGTCAAAATACCATAGGAATACATTGGACGCAGTTTTGATCCGGTCTGCACCTGCTCTGGTCCGGATCTGCTCCGCGCTTGGTGTGAACAAGCCCTTAATGATGTCTCTTAATCCAATCATCTTCTTCTTTCCTGTAGTTTTCAGCCTTCTCTCCAGCGCTGCGGAGAGTGTCCGATCCAGCGCCGACTCCTCTGTGATAGCTGGCACGTACTCTCCCACGGTGTCTGCATGCGGGTGCACGCGTCCATATACTTACCTTGTGTCTCTCCTCACTTCCCGGCCGAAAATGTCAACTGCGTATGCGCCCGCCCCAAGATGCTTTGCGGCCGCCCATGCAGTTTCACATTTTAGGACGGGAGAAGATACAGGTAAGTTTAAACCGCTGTTAAAGCGATTTAAAAAACAAACAAATATTTTTTCGCATAGATCTACTGTTTGCTAGCAGTAGATCTATGCAAAAAAAGCTGAGGGTTTAGAAACCCTTTAAACCAAAGAAAAAAGAATTCTTGCAGTGGGGCTACTTCTGTACTGCAAGAGTTAAGTGCTTGTTTTCTTCTAGCATGTAAAATAAAGTTATACTCACCTGAGCATGCAGTCAGAAGGCTGCTAGACCCATCCCTGGAGCCTCTCTCCTCCTCCACTCCAGCGGTCTAAGGTCCTGTGACTCATTACATTCAATACACAGTGTATAGGAGTTGAGGATTCTGAGGGACATACCATCACTGCAGCAGAGGAAGAGACAGGCTGGAGGGAGCGCTGTCACAGCCAGCAGGATGTGAGGTTCGGAAGAGTATAACTTTGAGCGTTATTCACTTAGCAGCCGAAGACGACGTAAACTGAGCCGAACGGCGTTTGGCTATTCACTCGGCTCTGTACGGCCGTTCGACTCAGCCAATCCTACATCTGCTCGCTACCCCCAAAGTAGAGGTAACAAAGTTAACAAAAAAAATTATTAAAAATAAATAATAAAAAACAAAATTGTAAAAAAGGTATTAAAAAAATGTAAAAGAAAAAACAAAACAAAAAAAAAAAAA